TTGCACCGACCACGAGGGTTTCCCCATCGAAATCCGTACTACTTGGCGCGGAGATGCACTGGACGCCGGAGCGAATTCGCGTAACAAAACGGCGTAGGCCAACGAAATGTGCTAACATAAGCGATTATTCGAACATTTTCTAAATTTCTAAAACGCACGTGTTAAGTGCATTACATACTAGGCGGTTAGTGACGCGCGCGGACGTGGTTAAAAACCGCCGCGAATGTTCGCTTGAATTTAAACAGCCACAATTATTAAATCGGTGTGTTCACACCTAAAAAAGTCCGCGTTCGATCGCGCATGTTTAATTTTATGCGAACGTTCGCCTTTAACCGACATAATTAAATACATTGTTTTCAATGGAACTATTCATACCAAGCGTTTTATTCGTGATATCGGACGATCTTTATCATTTCAGTTTTGTTGTTGGCGGTGGACGGTATAGAAAAACCTAAATATGTTTGATGTTGAACGTTTTATTATTGAAATATCTGAGGAGAATAGTATTCGGAATACGAGTAAGAAGTATCCTTAGTAATATTGAAATACATATTATGTAAGTAAATAAAAAAATAAAATAAAATAACTAAATTATAATGTTGTGTAGAATAATAAGCATGATAAATTTTAATTTTAATTATATTATTCAGACATTTCACATTTCAATATTATATTTTGTACTACGAAATACAAAATAAAACAAATATTAGTTTTTGCATATACTCTACGTATGATTCCATTTAAAAAAATGACGATTAACAGTTGAATTAAATGTTACACAATACCTATACTGCTTTTCAAAAACTGTTTAAAAAATACACAAAATAGCACGGAAAATGATTTTTCACCACGAGTAACCACGAAGTAAGCTATTTTATTTTATTTTACATGTTTGTGAGGTTTTTTCGTCGACGCAGGCTGTTTATAATCGCGTTTATGAACGAACGAACCGACTAGTGTGCAATGATAGGCGATTTTTCAATCGCGTCCGCGCGCGAACAGTTTTCGCCTCTAGTGCGTTTACAGTATCGTCCCGCGCTTTTGCGCGCGGCTATGAACATTATATAAACGATATTGGGTAAGGCCGTGTCTAGACATTTTTTTCGGGAGGCGTCCGAAACCTGTATACTGTAATTTTATTGAATTTGGATTTTAACTTTTGATATTCCGTTGAGAATAAGACAGGAAAAGATTTAATCTTCATTTATTAAAATTAATATCATATTTTCATATGATACTACGATATAAAATTAAAATCAGTCAATGATTAATTGGAGCTCAAGTCATTTTTGACTGAAAACATTTATGTTGGTATTAAAAATAAATAATTATTTTAAACGTTCGTAAAATATTGAAGAAATTTCGGTGGGGGGAGTGTCCAGACACCTTGGATCCCCCCCACCAGATACGGCCGTGATATTGGGAAATGGCTCGCGCAATCACTGTCGGCCACCCGGGTGAAATTGCGGTGAGTGAGATGATTTGTTCGAAACAACAATAACGCACGAAACACGTGAAAAGCGGCTCCGGCGACGAACGACGGTTTTCCCTCGAGTGTACGGTCGCCGTTCGATACAAAACCATAGACGTACGACTTGCACCACTTGCGTTGCACTTTCGCCCGTGTAGCATCGTCGCCCGATAATAATCATCATACAGTAGGGTCTCGATAATCCAAACGAGATCGGCGAAAGGGGTCGTTCGGATTATCTATGGTTTAACAACAACATCGATTTCATTAGAATTTAAATTATGAAATTTATTTTTATCTGCCTATCATAATCGTGTAAAAAACTCGTAATCCACAAAGAATACAATGTATACAAAGTATTATTATAATTATATGTGCGTGTACGTGTGTGTGTAAGTACAGCCAGTTAATACAATATTTATGGCGATTCGGTACTGCTCGAGCTCGTTCGGATTATCGAGACCCTACTGTAAATATCATTATTGTATTATAATCATGTCGCGGACTCATGTCGTCCCCGCGGTGCCCGATCGAGCGGCATAGTTTTCAACGACTCTGTTTTGAGCACAGAAAAACAATCTTATCGCCGTTAGTGCGACGTTGTACGTTTTCCGGTCTGTCTACCGCAACTCGGTCACCACCACTGAAACGATGACAAAAATTCGATCAATAATCATAGAAATATGTGTTTAATCGAAAGACGAAAATATAAATGCAACCGTAACGGCTTACGAGGAATATTCAAAATAAAAATTCATCGGATTTCAGTGTAATCTCGTACTCGCGGACTCTTTTTTTTTGAGTTCGAATGGAATACACTATTCAATGTTATTTCGAAAACCGTTACTCTCCGACGACTTGAACGCGAAACGTACGCTTTGAAATGTCGTCAATCGAATATCAGCGAAATAACATATATGAAACGAATACTAAAATATTTTCTCCGAGTCAAAACTCGACATGAAGATGTAAAACACCTTGTCGACCAGTGTTATTGCTGAGTAATCTTACGAGTTCACGGGAACAACTTCCTAATTGTTGCAGTGCGTTTTCGAACGTATTTGACACTGATGAACGAATTAACTGCACCTGTTTCAATCCGTATTCAGTTTCCTCGGTAACCACGAATTTCGTTACGGTTTTTCTGGCGTCGGTCGTCTTTAAGCATGTTGCATAGCAGAAAAGTGTTCCGTATTGGCATGTATTAAGTTCACATTAAATACAAAATACGTGTATAGAACACGTACAACATTGAATGCTTTCCGTTTAGTACTTACAATAATAATACAATAATGCACCCGTTACCGCAACGCTATACATTATGCACCTAAATATTATTGACGATTGTTATTGGTTTTTTTTTTTAAATTTTTATACACAGGATGACTGTAAAAAACGAGATTATAAGTAAAAATAGTTTTATCGATCTATGCACTTGTATGCAGTGAACTGTAAATACGTAAGTACATTTTACGAAATTAAATTAACAGAACGGTCACTAACTACTGACTCAGATTTGTATCTCGCAGATTTTGATTTCTGAATAAATACGTCGAGATGCAAAATCATTGAACTCGCAGTCCTGATCATAATATATTTTGAATTAAAAAAAAAAAAACGGTATAATCATACAACTATACACGCGATAGGTTAAATTATTAAACGAGTATCAGCTAAACATCTTCTATAATAGTGTACAAAACGAGTGCAGTAGGGGGGAATTTTCGGTTTTGAGATTTACCTGACAAAGAATTTAAACAAGAGAGGACGACGATAGTAAAAACCCAGTACAACAATATAATAATTTTATGCGATGTTCGCTCGCTCGAGACGAAATAATGATGTGAGGACGGTCATTTCGTTAACCCGGTGTAGAATAATAACGCGAACGTTGTTATAATGGCGATCTGTGCTCAACGATAATATTATAATATAGCCGCGGTTGACGGTGAACGATTCTCTGCGACCCAAAACACCTAAACGTGGAATGACGATCGCAATCAAATCGGAGAAACGAAATTACCATAAAACCATATTTTATTGGTGGCATTAAAACGCGAATAATTTTGAAACATTTTTTTTTCCCGGATGAATATTTTAACAACTAAACATGCTTATGTCACATCGTACGTTCACACAGGGCTGAACCGAATGGGTAAGAAGGATCATTCGACGAATATCCACTGGCTAAATACCGTCTTCGGTTTTTGAAATAAAAAAGATACAACACCATAATGATTTAATACGAAATTACCTCCAGCTAGGGCTGTAAGAAATTCAATTACTGTTGATTTCAATTATTGTAAATACGTTATGAATAAAAACGTTTATTGTTTATATATATACTAGTAAACCCGACAAACGTTGTTTTGTCATATAAATTATTTCTAGAGAATATTTTGCTAGAAAAAAATAACTAATTTAATATAGGTGTATAAGGATGTGGTATATAAGTGAAAGAAGTATGGAGTGCTGTGAATTGTGACGAAACGTAAAAATAAAAAAAAACATGAAACATTTATTTTTTTAATAATTTATTAAAATTGATCCTTTAAAATTATATATATCGCTAATTATGACAATATTGGTAAAAATAATATCAATCCCTTAATGCAACGGAGTGTACAATATTTTTGCTATCCCATCTTTCGCCAACACAAATTAGATGGTTGGAGAGCACGCTACGTATAATTGTCCGTGTGAAAAACATGATGTACTCAAATCTAAGCCACAGACAGACATCGTTTAACCTTGAGACTTATTGATAGTCATTGCAAATGCCATTCTAATTAAAAATTGAAAAAATTGAAGGCGTTTAATTTGTATTGGCACATCTGAGGGTATAATAGGGTTTCGCGGTGATAATATATTTTCATCTAGGAATTTGCCATTTAAAATTATGGCTTTGATAACATTTTGCATTAATTTTTTAATGACTAATCGCGTGCCGTTGCATAACCGTGGTGGGTTCAAATTACGAAGCAAAATAACCGGAGATCCAACCTTCAGTTGTAAATTATGCGGTAACATGCCTGGTAAATCCAATGAGTTTAAAAACTCTGTTGGATAACTTACAGCTTCAGTAGCATCGCAAACTGTATCAATAGATTTGTATGACACCAAGTTTCTTGGTAACAAATGTTGTATCTTGAGATTCAATTCGTTGACGTCCACATTTTTTGCTGCTAAAATTGCTCTTTCTGTCAGCCACTCATGATTTGTGTATTGTCTGTGTACATTGGGAAATATCTGGTCAATGAGAGCATCTTGCTAATCAATGCTTGTGCAGAAATCGGTCGGTATTTGTATGCATCCCGTTTCATTTGTAGTAACTTTCCCATCACTGTTATCTAACAATTGTTTTGAGAATCTTCCGCACGCACCTTTTTTTAATTGAATCACAAGTATCGTAATCGTTCGCTTTCTATCTTTATATACATATCGACATGTCGACCATGAATTGTGGACAAAACTCATGACATCGTAGAATAATGTTGTCCTGATCGCATCTAATCATCAATCGATATGCATAATAATCCTTCGAATGGCCTTCTTTTGGTACCTGTTGCGGGATTTTGTTGTTTAATATTTATGCAATACCCGTCATTGAATACCAGAAAAAAAAATAGTTTTTTAATAGTTTTTAATAGTTTTTTACTAGTTCTTTAATAGTATCATTTAATAATTCATTTTCAATTGCGCAGTTATCGACCTGCTCAAAAATTATTAAATTAAACTACAGTTTATTAAACAATAACACAAAAAAAATAAAAAAATAGATAAAAACCTATTCGCAGACCTATCAAATGTATATATAAAATTTCATTAAAATCGGTTAAGCCGTTTTGGAGTATTATGGTAACAAACACTGTGACACGAGATTTATATATATATATATATGTATATATTAATTATTTCATTATAATATTAAAAACTTACTTATTTTTTAGAAAAATTTGAACTGCCCTTAGAAAAAAGTACGCAACTTTATCAGATGCGTATCGTATCACGTTCATCCAACATCTGTCCGGTTGAAATCACGCAAACAAGACTCCGAGTCTTAAAAAAAAAAAAAAAATTCACAATGTAATATTTTAAATGTTGAACACAGCATTATAAAAATTATACTTCTCCATGATCGGAAGAGTGCGATCGCGTTGAATATTATTCAATGTTCGGGATTTTCAACTGTAAGATTAATAAAATAATAATAACAAAAATAATACATACATACAACTATGTATAATATAATAACGTCGCGTTATTATTGCGCGTGAAGGAAAAGGCGAACGTGAAAATAAACGTTTTTTGTAGTATGCATACGAATAGAACTGTCAAAGGATAAGGATAATGAGGAGGACGAAGAAATCCTATTAAAACATATTACGATTTTTTTCACTACACATACTTCCTACCGTTTTGATAAATCGTGTTTGTCATGTGATGTTATTTTTAATTTTTTTTTTTCATATTTATTTTCGCCCGTGATAACTCTCTAATGGCACCCAGAGTTTCTACCGTCAAGCCATGTGCGCTTATTTTGTACTGAGCACTCGGGTATTCTTTTTCTCTATTGTTTTTCCCTTTCTCTATTTTTCTCTTTCTTTCTCCCTCATCTTAATGGTGACTTTCCCGTCATTAACGTCGTCCTAACGATATCTGTATCTAAACAACAACACGCAATTCGAACTCAATATTATTATTACGAAGTTGTATGCAATTGTTCAATACATATATATATTATATATATACTAATTCAGCGGGAATATAGAGGCACAATACATCGGGGTCTCAAATATGAGGGTTTGCTTAGAGCAATAATCTTCAAACAGAAGCCCTTCTTTTAAGATTTTAAGATTTTCTTAATGGAATTAAACAGTATTTTATTTTGATTATATAATAAAATATAAAAAACATTTCATAATCAAATATTGAACATATTGGTTCAACATATATGTTAAAGAAAATGATAAAATCGTTCATTTGGAATCGATTTATACGTGTTAACTGATATTATTATTTCATTGGAGAATTTAATTAAATTAATTTAATTTAATTTAATTTATATAATATATAAATATTTATGAATTGAAGAAATAATAAAGTTTATGCCAATTTTTTTTTTTTTTTAAGGCACTTCCGAGTGTATTCCTAAGTGGTATCTTGACATCTTGAGACTTAAATCCGACCCTGATTTTCACATTTATTATATTGTACACTTTTATACATTTTAAAAATTAATAATAGATAAATATAAATTCAAAAAACTGGGGGCTAATGTAACGATTGTTACATATTATTAGTCTATACATATAATATTGCTGAGCAGACACTGTATTTCAACTAGGACATAACTATATCATATTTCACTTTTGTAAATCAAACAGCTAATGCCGAATATGCAAGTCACGGTAGTTTGGCCATGACGTCCATTCAATGTAGCTGAACTCCGTATTGTTTTTTATGTAGTATTCCATAGTCGTATTTTAACATGTATATTAAATATTAATAACTAAACTAAATCAATCTACATTTATTTGTAATATTTTTTTGTTTTCATTTATTATAATTATAAAATGTTTCAGCACATCTAATGCTATTACAAATTTTTAGTTTTTACAATTTTACTTGTTATACATTTAAATAAGTTATAAATTTATTAATGACATAATTATTAATAGTGAGGGTAATATGATAATGTGATATAATAATGTGATAACATATGTGTATATAATAATAATTATAAGGTCTAGTATATTAATAATGTTCTTCATTTTCTGATGATGAGTCTTCTATGTCTGTTAAGAGAATGCCCTGGAGAAGTCAAGGCCGCAGACATCTATTGAGTGTTTTTCTTCCTATATTGTAATGACGAGCACTGTCCAAATTTTTTAGTTTGGCGTGGAAATTTTTAAATTGGATTTTAATCTATGTATTTATCAGGGGTATTCCCGTGTCATTGTGGATCTGACGATTTTTCACGAACCACGGTACTTTGAGACATACCCTTAAGAATTTATTTTGTAAGATTTGGATTTTATTTATTTTAGTTATAGAGGCAGCAGCTCATACAGGACAGGCATAAGTTATCAGTGGTATAATTATTGTGGTGTAGGGAAAGAAAAATGATTTCATTTGGAGAGTTGATTTGTAATTCACTAAGGGGTAGAGAATTCTGTTTATAATATTAAGATCTTTCTTTTTATGCTCCCGAGCTACTGTATAATATATTCAAAAGGACTAGAAATCTTCCCTGAATATCATATATTTAACTGGCCAACCCCGATCACGTTACAGTCGTTTTTGTCCGTTCAGCGATATAATTTTGAGCAGGATAAATAAAGTTCAATCGGAGAAACTGTCCTCTTGTCGGTTTTTCGTCATCAGGTAATTTTACGTCGACGAACGTTACTTCAACTTATCCATTCAGAGGGTGACATTATTGTTTTGCATCTCAGAATGTTCATATTTCTCGGGCCGTTCAGATTTCTATTTCATGTTTCAAAATGACAGAATGAACGTATCAAAGACCGCTGAAAACAAATATTGCATTTCCGTTTATGCAATTGTTTATTCAAGCGAGATACGTTCCTTCATGCATTGCGTTTTGAATCAGTTCTAAAATGGTTTTCAGTCCACGTTTGTGTCATTGGCCGTTTCCACATAATTTCCAGATGCACTGCTGAACCCATAATAATACGATTCAAACGCGAGTATTAATTCTTTGCGATCATCGCGCACGCTTAGATCAACTTAAACATAAAAAATACCACCAAGTCAGCCTGCAGCGCAACGCGTTAGTGACGTGCGCAGTGACCAAATGAAATTCATTAAATCCATGCATTATATATAGTATAGGTACTTTAATTTCAAAACTAACTCTACAGCGTGTACATATTTCAAATAGCATCGCGCGTTTATCACGTCGTACGTAAAGTCAAAATGTATTCACCGTCCGAGCAATGCGAATTCGAACGTAATAAATTCCATTAAGCCGAGTGGTGATGTTGTTTATGCATTACTATGTATTATATTTAATTTAAAAACGATAAATTAAAAAGACATAGGGAACCAGGAACGAAGGCGTGTTGGCCGGACAGCTTCGCCGTAACATTCTAATACACTATGTACACATACTAAATACTTGTTTGTTACTAAAAACAAAGAGTTGTCGGTCGGGATTGTTTAAGACAAACAAAGGAGGGTTAACAAACCATTCGAATATCGGGGGGGGGGGAAGAGGTGCACCGGATAAAAGGGTTTGATTGCGTGCTGTTTAAAGGGACGAGCTACGCAAGAACTTTTGATTTCAATGATCCGCGATCGTTTGTCACACGACAAAGAAATCGTTACAGGTTTATCGGAGCCGTTTATTATTGGTTTAAATATTGCTTGAGTATAATGTTTGTAATTTTAAAAAGAAAAAAAAATGAAGAAAGAATAGTGAGCTGCGCCTCATACTAAGTCAATGCAAGAACGGAAGGATAAGCTGTACGTGAATACGACTTTAGAGACAAGCGAACGGCGACTCCGTGTCCCTGTGCGCCCTGGCAGCTTAATGTATCCGGCATTTTCCGTCCGTTCGTTCCAACATTATTGTTTGTTCTGCTACAATACGAAATTTTTCTTTTAACTCCGTGCGCACGCGTGTGAATACGTGACGGTATTAACTATGCGTGACACAATCGAAGACGTAGCATTGTACACTGTCGCAGGATAACCGAACGTTCCCTGGGCCGAGAACGACCGATCTAAGCGCGTTTGAAAAAAAAATGTGAAATATACATGTACAACGCGTGATAATAATAAAAAATGATAATAACAATGACAACGACTTGAACGCGTATCTTAAGCTTCATTGTACGCAGGCGTGCGGCGTTTACTGTTTGTCCGGCCGATCCTGACGTCGGCGCTGGCCCGAGGATTACGTGCATTATATATTACACGGCCAATGCAATCTATTCACTTATATTGTCCGTATAGAGAACTATATGAAGACATATACGTATATGCGATAATTTAACCCCCTATTAATAAGGATCTGGACTGGCGCGTCCTTTATTCTTCCTTTCCCCGTTAAAGTTATCCTTTGAGTTTTGAAAAACGACTGTGACACGAGATTACGATGTGCCTTTGGTAGTAAAACGTTTTTGTATACTTAGTTTATTACACGCATTAGGTAGACCACCTAACCCCCTACGCAAGTCCCAATTCAAAATAATTCCGTCATTCTTCAACACCACGTGATCACGGTTTCTTTACACAATAAAAATATGATATACGTTTGCACCGATATTTGTTTAAGCAATAACAACGAAGACTGACGACATTTTCCGGATATCGAAACTAACGATGGTCGGGTTTGAATAGGGGATTGCGCGTTTGGACACGACACGCGTATAAGTTATATATGACGATATATCGAATTGGTAAGTGCTTGGTAAAAAAGTGATATTTTCAATACAAATACTGCTTATTCGATTAACAAGTTGAACGTTTTTAGCTGTTTAAATAATTGCTGATCGAGAATTTTGTGCAAGAATAAAAACAAAAGAAATTTGCCAACGAAAATATAATGTATTGCGCAATACATGATTTTAAATCAATATTAAAAAATACGGGACATAATATTGGTGAAATACTAGTAAATGATCGAAGACCAGAAAATTCTGGTTCGACTCTAAATAGGGATCGGAATGGTTAAAAATATATTTCTGTGCGAGGTGGTGTAATTTTTATCAGTGTTCCAGTGGTTTGTGAAGTTTCTATGTCAGGAAAGCAACAACATTAGAATTTTATATCTAAAATTAAATAAAATCGCCCAACTGAGGCCTAACTGAGCTCTTTAATGAATTTAAGTTTTCTTCGAACAAATTATTAATTGCCTAACTCATCATAGACGTTCAATTATAGTTAATACACAGTAAAACTATCTTTTTTTTACTATTCAACTTTGATAATACGTTCGGTTTTTTTTAGATTACGACTACACAACAAAATATGTACCTCGTTTAGCGTGTTTTATTCTTAACATTTAGTCAAGTCTCTTTTACAGTTGAGGTGGATAATAGTGGGTCGAAGGGATGATTTTTTACTCAAGCTTCCGGTAAGTCTTAGGTGTTTAAGTTTTTAGAATTGTACGCAACACTCATACGAAACGGTACCGACTCGTACTACAGTGGAAACAC